CTGATCAACGGAAAAAAGACTGAAGTTGTCAAGAACTTCATTTCTCTTGGATCAACCATCAACACTCAAGGAAGCAGCAGTCAAGAAATCAAATGACGTATTGCATTAGGCAAATCTGCTGCACAAGATCTTTTTAAAGTGTTGAAGAGCAACGATGTCAGCTTGAGGACTCAGGTGGGCCTGACCGAAGCCATGGTACTTTCAATAACTCCATATGCACATGAAAGCTGGACAGTGAATAAGGAAGAACATAGAAGAATTGTTGCTTTTGAGTTCTGGTGTTGGAGAAGAACATTTAATGTGCCATGGCTGCCAAAAGAACCAACAGATCTGTGTTGAAAGAAGTGCAGCCAGAGTGTTCCTTGGAGGTCAGGATGGCCAAACTTCGTGACTCATACTTCTGACATCTCGTCAGAAGGGGCCAGTCGCTGGAGAAGGATATCATGTTTGGTAAGGCAGAGGGTCAGAGAAAAAGAGGAAGATCCCCAGAGAGATGGATTGGCCAAGTGGCAGCATTAATGGGATCAAGAGTGGCAACAATTGTGAGGTTGGCCCAGGACTGGGTATTGTTTTGTTCTGTTGTGCACAGGGTCTATATTAGTCAGTACCAACTTGATGGCACCCAACCACAATAACAGTATGAATTTTATCAAACATGCAGTGAAGTTACATTGGTAATCACTAGTGATTGGAATACAAAATTTGGAAACAAAAAAGAAGGATCACCATTTTGGTAAATAACAACTGGGGTCTAGGGTACAGCTTACTGGTTAATCCCTGTCTAGAGGAATGAAAAATGAAGAAAATCAAAGAAGCACGGAAACAATGAGTCCAATGGACTAACTGGCCAAATGAACATCAGTCACCCCAATCCTGAGACCAGAAGAACTAGGTGATGCCTGACTACCATTAACAACTCTGAAGGGAACACATTAGAAGGCCCTGTAAAGAGTAGGAAAAAAATGTGAAAACAACTTTTAGACCAGGCTTATTGGTCAACCAGAACCCCTTAGACTATGGCTCACAATCATCCTTCAAGTCTGGGAAATTAACTCTCCACCACTGTTCAATTTTTAGCCAAACAAAAGACAGGTCTGTTTGTCATTGTGGCTGTGTACCATCAAGTTGGTTCTGACTCATAACTACACTGTATAGGGTTTCCAAGAAATGGCTGGTGGGTTTGAACTGCCGATTTATGGTTAGCAGTCCAATGTTTATCCTACAGAGCCACACCAGGACTCTAAGACAGGGCTATTAGGGGAACAACACCAGGGAGGTACCCATATCTTAGAATAATCAACCATCTGAGATCAAAAGGGTAGCATTTATCCAAGGACAAAGTTCAGAAGGGTGAGGAAAGAAGGGGAAATGGAAACAGAAAACATGGGGAGGAAGTGGGATAAGTGATGTTACATGAAACAAACTATGAATGAATTTTTTAAAGGAAAGCTGATCTGCTCCATAAACCTCTACCCGATTCACAATAAAAAGTAAATTTAAAAAGAAGAAGAAAATCCCAAATTGAAAACATGGCTTTCAATTTATAGAAATGATGCCAGGGACTGCATATGATAGAATTTTGCAAGACCAACAAGATGATGGAGAAGCTTAACATCATTAGTCAAAATAAGGCCAGGCACCGATAACAGAACACACCATCAATTGCTTATATGCAAGTTCAAGTTGAAGATGAAGAAAAGTAAAACAAGCTGATGAGAGCCAAAGTAAGACCTTGAGTATATTCCACCTGAATTTAGAGACAATATCAAGAATAGATGTGATGCACTGACCACTAATGACTGAAGACCAAATGAGTTGTGGGATGACATCCTTGATACATGAAGAAAGCAAAAGGTTATTAAGAAGACAGAAAAGAAAGAAAACACCAAAGTAGATGTCAGAAGAGACTGTGAAACTTGTTCTTGAATATAAGATAGCTAAAGCAAAAGGAAGAAATGATGAAATAAAAGAGTTAAACAGAAAATTTCAGAGGGCGACTCAAGACAAATATTACAATGATATGTGCAAAGGCCTGGAGTTAGAAAACCCAAAGCAAAGAACACACTCTGGCATTTCTTAAGATGAAAGAACTGAAGAAAAATTTCAAGTTTTAAACTGAAAATATTGAAGGAATCAATGAGGAAAATATTGAATGATGCAGAAACAATCAAAAGAAGATGGAAGGAATGAATATATAGTAACTGAACCAAAAAGTGTTGGTCAATGTTCAACCCTTTCAGGAGGCAGAAAAGATGAAGAACTGATGATACTGAAGTAGTAGTCAAGCTGTAATTAAGAGTACTGCTGAAAAACAGGGCTCCAGTAATTGATGAGATAACAAATGAAAATTTTCAACAAACTGATGCAACGTGGGAAAGCTGTCATTCTTCTATGCCAAGAAATTTGCATGATAGCTATCTGGCTAACCAACCAGAAGAGATCTATCTCTGTGAACATGAGAATGTGGAAATTATTGGATGATATCATTAGTATCACATGTAAATAAAATTTTACTAAAGATAATCCAAAAAGGTTACAGCAGTACATTAACAGGGAATTGCCAGAAATTCAAGATGATTCAGAAGGCACAGGATACGCTGACATGAGATGGATGTAGTCTGAAAGTAGAGAATACTACAAAGATCTTTAGTGGTGTTTCGTTGACTATGCAAAGGTATTTGACTGGGTGGATCATAACAAATTACTAGTAACATTGAAAAGAATGGAAATTCCATACACTTAATTGTGCTTATTCAGAATCTGTACATAGACCAGGGGATAGCTGTTTGGGCAGAACAAGGGAACAACTGTGTCGTTTAAAATCAGGGCTATAGCTGAAGTGGCTAGAAGAACATGAAAGAAAGACTGGCATGAAAAATCAAAAACAACTGCAGTCAGACTGACTACTACAAGAACAAGCAAGCTGTTCACCTGGGAGCCTTCAAGGCAAGTGGTCGGGTCCTCTCAAAGCAAACCCCCTTCCAAGACTAAGACTCAAGGGGAACACATGAGTGGGCATGTAGTCTGTCTGGTGACCATGCTGGTCACTGATAGGGGGAAGTGGAGGAAAAATAGCAATGAAGTTGTAAGCTAAGTCTGACCACAGTCAATAGACTCCTGTGAACCCAGGTGGAGACCTGGTTGGCTAGTATGGCAAGACCTGGAGACTCTTGGGCCCAGAGTCAGTGATATAGCCACAGAGGACTAGAGTGGAGAGTGAAGCATCCAGCTGATCTGAAGTGAGGGGAGATGCACAAAAACACCCATACTTGCAGATAGTACCCACTCGACCTGGCTTCAATGGCTGGATGATCAGAACTTGACTAGAAAAAGAAAGAAGAGGGGAAAAAGCGTAACCCACTACATTTGATTAACTTTACCTATACTTATGGATATAGTAGCTCAAAAATGGGAACAAAGCTTTACAGTGAGGATCACTCCCACCCCCTTGGTACTCAGCATTGACAGGGATGGGCAACTTGGACATTGGCTACCCAAAATGGGGGGCTACAAAAGCAGTAAGTGACTGGCTTACAAGCTTTCAAGAGGGAGCCTAGATTCAGAGGGAGTGGGGGAAGGTAGAATCACCACTGAATGGTTTCCAATCTGTTGGGATAGGGCTGATCAAAGGAGACGGGGATAATACTCTTGGGGTACAACAGTGAATAACTGCTATCAGGACTGACTGTGAGGGTCAGAAATGTAAAGGTAGATGTTTTGCAACAAAAGGAGGGGTGTGATTGATTTTGCAGTCCAGGAGCAGAGGTCCCTGAGACCATCAAGTGAGAAGAGTGGAATGCGGGACCCTACCCAGAGAAGCAGTGACGCCAGAAATGGAGGCAGAGAAGACGGCGTGGAGAGATGGAGAGCTGGCGACTCTGGACTCAGGAAGGGAGAGGGGCTGTGTACTGACTGACGGCTGGGGGTGGACAGGCCTGTGGGGTGTACCCTTTAGTTGTTTGATGATGCATGGAGGGGAATGTAATCGTTGCAATGAAATGAAATAAGATAGGATGAATCTAACGCTGGTGTTCTCCCAAGTAAACTCACATAATACACAATAAAATCTTAAAAACAACAACAACAACAACAACAAAAAAAAAAAAACAGGGCTATACACTATCTCTATACTTTTTCAATTTGTATGCTGAACAAATTATCCAAGAAGCTGGTCTAGATGAAGACTAACATGGCATCAGGTTGGGAAGAAGACTCATTAACAAGCTGTGATACGCAGATGACACAACCTTGCTTGCTGAAAGCCAAGAGCACTTGAAGTACCTACTGAGGAACATCAAAGACTATATTCTTCTGTAAGGATTACACCTCAACATAAAGAAAACAGAAATCCTCACAACTGGACCAATGAAAAGACTGAAGTCATCAATTAAATCATTTTAATTGGATCCACAATCAATGCTCATAAAAGCAGCAGTCAAGAAATCAAACAGTGTGTTGGGCAAATTTACTGCAAAAGATCTCTTTTAAAAGCTTTAAAAAGCCAAGATGTCACTTTGCAGACCAAGTATATAAAATCTGGACAATGAATAAGATTGATGAAGAATTGAATCCTCTGAATTATGGTGCTGTCCAGGAATGCGGAATATGTCACGGGATGCCAGAAGGAAAAAGAAAGCTGTCTCAGAAGCAGTACAGCAAAAACACTCCTTAGATGCGAGGATGGCAGGATTTTGTCTCATGGACTTTGGACGTGTTATGAGAAGGGACCAACCCCTAGAGAAAAACATCCTGCTTGGCAAAGCAGGGGTCAGTGAAAAATAGAAGACCCTCAATGAGTTGGGAGTGACACAGTGACTTAAAAATGGGCTCAAACACAGCAATGATTGCTTGATGGGCAGGACCTGGTAGTGTTTCATTTTGTAGGCTCACAGGGTGGCTATGAGTCAAAACTGAATCTATAGCACTTTAGCAACAATAGAACAGTCCACCAAATAACATTAAATATATATATATACATCACAAAAACTGGGTATACTTACTTGTAATGTAGTATCAAAGACAACAAGCTTTGAACTGGTTGGAACAATGTCATAACACTTGTGTGACCTCATGAATCTCATGTAAACGCCACTTTCAGAGTCTTCTGCTAAGAGGTTAAAAAAAAAAAAGGGCAGAATATCAGTAACAACGAAGAATTTCCTTAAACTGATAGCAGGCATGTACAATAAAAATGTACTGCTAATATTATATTTAACGGTACAAGGTTATATTTTTAAAATTTCTACTGTATTTTTGGAGTTCTGGTGTGGCTCTGTGGGTTAATGTGTCAGACTGCAAAGCCATTTGAACTGCAAGGTCTGTGGTTCAAGCTCACCAACCACTCCTCGGAAACCCTATACAGGGTCGCTATGGGTTGGTATCGACTCGATGGCACTTAACAACAACAACTGTATTTTTAGGTTAGCTACTAACAAGTGGAAATTGTTTTCCTAAGACACTAGGGATGAAAGTGACATAGGTGTAAGATTTCTACACTGAAAGCTATAAAATATTAATGAGAGACATCAAAGGCTCTGATAAATACAAATACAGATTGTGTTCATACATGAAAGACTTAATTTTGTTAAGGGGTTTTTGTATCTATGTTAACGAGGGGCATTGTTCTGTGGTTTTCATATAATACCTTTGATTCTGGTTATAAAGGTAATGCTGGTCCCATAAATTGCATTGTGTTGTTTGTTATTCATGAGTGTCTGTACACAACTGGTATTATTTCTTTGTTAAATATTTGGTGGCTTGGAACTTGATGATTCGAGTAACAAGAATCTTACTTATTGATTCGATCAATAAATATTTATTGCCTTGTCTTAATATAGGTTCCTCCCAGAGCAGACCAGGAGCAATGGGACAAGGACAGAGATGGTCAAAAAGGGTGTGCCAGTAAGCAGGTATGTACAGTGCTGTTGATGCAGACCTCGGCACTGTCTCATGGTTGTTGTTGTTGCTGTTAAGTGTCATTGAGTTGGTTCTGACTCACAGTAACCCTGGACAAGGTTTCCAAGGAGCAGCTGGTGAGCCTGAACTGCCAACCTTGCAGTTCAGCGCATTAACCTGCAGCACCACACTAGGTCTCATGGTGAGGCCCAGGAAACTGGAGCAATCGTCCATCCACTTCAGCCCCTTCTTGGTCAAAGGTCACTACTGGGGTGGTGGTGATGTTGTTATGTGCCGTGGGTACTACCTGGCATTTCTACCCTGCTCCAGGCGCTAGTCCACAGGCCTCACTGCTAAAGAAAGCCACTTTTTCTCAGGCAGAGACAAAGGGAAGTCGTGAGACATAAGGAGTTGGGGGTAGGCCAGAAGGATATGGTGGGGCACCAAAAGAATCTGTTACAAATACATTCTACTGTGTTAAGATGCTGGGGAAATTGCAGTCAAAGACAAAAATGACTCTTCCCTTGCAGACACAACAAACTTGTAGAGGATGAGAGACATTAAGTATTACTACACTGTCATAAATACTGACAAATGAGAAGTATGGAGTTTATAAGCAAGAGTAAATGGATAAACGAAATGTAAATCAGTAAGCTTAATCTTTTTTGAAACATTTTGAAGACAACATCAGACAAACCTGAATAGAAGGATACTCTACAAGATGCTTGCCAGTGCTCCTCAAAACTATCAAGGTCATCATAAGCAAATGTCAAAGCCAATAGGCTCCTCAGGACACACAACAACAAAATGTAGTATGGTAAACTGAATGGGATCCAGAAAGAAGGGCAAGAGAAAAAACTGCAACAAGAGAAAAAACTAATAAGCTACATACTCTAGCTAACAGTACTGAATCAGTGTTGGTGCACTGCGTGTAACAAATGTACCACAATAACATGTTAACTTATGTACAGGAACTCTGGACTATCATCAGTTTTCACATAAATCCCAAACTATTCTAAAATCAAATAGTGCAGTATTTTTAATAGCCAAAAGAAGGATTTCAGATGGTACACAAAAAATAGACAGGTCTATATGGGGCCGTTTGAACGGCTATGTTGGTGGTTCAAGCTCACCAGTCACTCCTTGGAAACCCTATACAGTGTTGCTATGGGTCGGAATCTACTCGACGGCACTTCACAACAACAACAACAATATGGGGAAAATAACACTAGTGAGGTACACCTACCTCAGAACAGTAGTGTGGGACCTTTTTTTTTTTTTTTAATCAAGGGCCATATGAATATTTATAACCTTATTTTCGGGCCATACAAAATTATCAACTTAAAAATAAGCCTGCTGTAAACTATCACATAATTCACAATAAAACATTTAAGAAAAAAAAAATAATAATAAGCCTGCTATAATGTGATGGCTGTAACTGCGGCTGCCTTGGCAGGGCCAGACGAAATGAGCTTGGAGTTCAAATTCACCAACCACTCCTCGGAAACCCTATACAGGGCCGCTTTTTAGGCAGAACTGACTCGATGGAACTATCAACAACAACAACAACACAACCCACAGACTGGATGTTCCCTACTTCTGCCTTAGAACAATCAACCATTAGAGATCAAAGGGCAGCATTTACCCAAGAACAAAACTCAGAAAGTTTAAGGCAAGAAGTAGAAATGGACTCAGGAGCTGGAGGAAGTGGGATAAGTGACGTTACATTGAGGGGCCTGCAATCAATGAGATGAAACAAAATGTGCAAGAACTGCTGAATGTAAAACTGATGATCAGTTCTGTAAACCTTCACACGACCCAATAAAATGTTAACAGAACAAAAACATGCTGATCCAATATTATTAGAGGAGTTACAAAAGAATGCTACCAGGAAATAGATACTATGTGTTTAAGTCTTTAATTTATGATGGCTAAAAACATAATGTTAAAAATGAAACAACTAAATTTAAATGCAAACCATTAAAAACACTAAAATTTCTAAGAGTACTTGAAAACAGTTTTCATTTTAAAAATATACCTGATTACATCATAACCTGGGCTCAGAAAGTCCGAAGGCTCCTCTCTGCTATAGAGCATACCCCACAGCATTCTAGGTTCCCAGAAATCCACTCTAACCTACCTTTCCAAGCCCATCTCTTGCTACATACCCTTAGCAAGCTTGTACTCTAGGACCCTAAGTACTTCCATTGCCTCAGAAAGGTATATAAGCAAAATATAAGAGCGTCAAATATGAGTCTAACAACCTAGGCAGAGATTTCTACCTTTTTATCTTCAGGGAGAAAAGAAAACATACAAGTTTAAAAGAATACTGGCAAGTTTACATTGAACAGTCAGTCAATAAATTCTACATTTACTCATTTAAGAATTGAGAGACATTTCTAGTCAGGAAAATAATGCATCTATGAAAATATAACAAGTCAATTCTCTTAAAAAGTGTTGATCTAAAGTTCCTAGAGGCCCCCTGTGTGCAGAGTAGAACTTGTGGCTTTTCTGAAGTCAGTCATCAGGCATGTCTTCTGAAGCATCTCTGGGTAGATTCCAACTACCAGTCATCCAGCTAGTCATCAAACACTTAACTGTTTGCATCGTTCAGAGGCTCCAATTTATCAACATGTAGTTATTGCTCAGAATTGTTGACTTAGTTCCTACTTATAGTGACCCTGTGCACAACAGTGCTGTGAGTCATCTTCAAAATTGTTATGTTTGAGCCCACTGCTGCTGCCACTGTGTTAATTCATCTCACTGGGGGTCTTCTTTTTCAATGATCCTCCACTTTACCAAGCATGATGGCCTTTTCTCCAGGGACTGGTCCCTCCTGACGACATGTCCCAAGTATGAGATGAAGTCTCACCATCCTGTCTTCTAAGAAGCATTCTGGCTGTACTTCTCCCAACACAGATTCGTTTGTTCTTTAAGCAGTCCATGGTGCTTGTAATATTTTTCTCCAACACCATAATTCAAATGCATCAATTCTTCTATGGTCTTCCTCATTCATTGTCCAAGTTTCACATGCACACGAGACGACTGAAAATACAACGTCTTGGGTCAAGTGTGTCTTTGGCCTCACACTGACAGCCATGCTTTGTAACACTTTAAAAAGGCCTTGTACAACAGCTTTCCCTAAGGTAATGCAGTGTGATTTTCTTTCTTTTGGGGAAATTTTTTATTACAAATTAAGGTTTCCAAAGAAAATCATCAGTTGTACATTCAACAAATCATAGTTTGCAATCCTCTCCATGAAACAGCAGTTATCCTACTTCCTTCCTGTAGTTCCTATTTCCATGCCACCCTCCTTCCCATCCTTTCTCCACTTTGTTCTTAAGTAAATGTTGCCCCTTTTGATCTTGAATGGTTGACAATTCCATGGTGAGCATACCTTACTAGTGTTGTTGTCCCCCTGTATACTTATCTACTGCTTGGCTGAAAACGAGCCATGAGGGTGAGTTCCATTTTAGACCTGAAGGGCAGTCCAGGACCAGAGTATCGGGTTCTTTCAGTCTCTTTCTGACCAGTAAGTCTGTTGTTTTTTAAATAATTTTTAGTTTTGGCCCACATTTTCTCCCTCTCTATCCAGGACCTTCAAAAGTGATCTCTTTCTTTAAAACACCTCATATAACACAGATGAATCAGGAGGACATTATGCTGAGTGAAATTCATCACAAAAGGACAAATATTGTATGAGACCACTATCGTAAAAACTCAAGGTTTTCATGCTAAAAGAAGCATTCTTTGATGGTTACCAAGGGTGAGAGGTTAAGGAGAGTAATTTGTAACTTGACTTCTTGGCTGCTTCCACTGAGTGTTGATTGTGGAGCCAAGGAAAATGGTGTCCTTGGCAACTTCAATCTCTTCTCCATTATCATGATGTTATTTATTGGATCAGTTGTGAGAATTTTAATTTTCTTTACACTGAGATGCAGTCAATACTTTGAGCAAGCAAGGTGGTATTATCACAGGATGTTTTCATGCGTCTTCCTTCTATCCTGATGCCATTTTCTTTTCATATAAAGCAGTTTTTTGTATTTGCTCAGCAGGCAGACTAAATCAGTATGGTGAAAGGATACAATCCTAGCACACCTCTTTTTTGATTTTAGACCATTCAGTGTTCCCTTATTCTGTTTTAACAACTGCCTCTTGGACTATGTACAGTTTTCCCTATGAGCACAAGTGTTCTGAAACACTCCGTCT